AAAAAAAAAAAAAAAAATAGTATAAAGCTCTAGTACTTTTATATTAAGGAAGGACATGGAGAAACGATTTGAGCAATCCTATTTATACTGCCTTTTATACATAAAAATACCACCTTTCTCGAAAGAGTACCATAAAACGTGACTGTGAATATCCTCCAAACTAACATATTACTGTAATGCTACTGATGATAAAATGCTATTGTAATACATTTCAAGAAATATCAATTGATATTTAAATTCTTACACAAAATATACTGATAGAGAAAATAAAGATAAAGATAAGAAAACCTATATACAAAGAAGTCAAAAGCTAGCTAGAAACACAACTTCAATGTGTTTCCCACTACTCTTATTTAAGCTCTGATACCAATTTATTTAACCTTCTCATTTAATTTTATTTTTATTTTTTTGAGTCAGAGTCTCACTCTGTCACCCAGGCTGGAGTGCAGTGGCACACTCATGGCCACTGCATCTTCGACCTGCTGGGCTCAGGCTATCCTTCCGCTTCAGCCTTCCAAGTGGCTGGAACGACGGGCATACACCACAATGCCTAGATAATTTTTTTTATTTACTATAGAGATGAGGTCTTGCCATGTTGCTCAGGCTGGTCTCGAACCCATGGTCTCAGGCAATCTTTTCGCCTCCACCTCCCAAACTGCTGGGATTATAGGTGTGAACCACTGCACTGGCCTTAAATGCTTAATTTTATATAACACAGGTAAAGTCTACTTATAGAGATAAAGGCTACAACCATAGAGATAAAAGGCTAACAAAAAATATTCCTATGCAAACTGAAATGCTAAAATAACAATTTTTTAAAAATTACCTGGATATCTTGCAGGCAAATTTCATGAGCATCCAAAGAACACTGCAGTCTTGGTTCTAGTAGTTTCTTTAAATTGCCTATTGGTTCATTGATGTCTATGGCCTGGCTTACACATTCAGCTGGTGTGTAGGTTTGCTCTACGATGCTAAATGTTAAAAGATGTAAGGGTTAAGAGTTACATTTTTACCTTGGATATTAAAGTAACAATATGCTTAAAACAAAATCCAATACCAAAACACATTTCTGGTCTCTGAAACCTAATTTCGGCATAGATGCTGTGGCAGGCTCATAACCAGTGTTGCCAAACTCATAGAGAAATATAAGCTTAAAATTTAAAGCATCATTGAAAATATGCCTCATTATGTACATACATATGTATGTATGTGTAGACATATAAATATTGCTTATGTGTTAGTTAAGGGGAAAGGTCTGCATTTATATTACATTTTAAAGTTTTTTAAAAAAAATTTTAGAACTAGAAAGGCAGATGCATTGGTTTCTCAAAATCTGTATGTCATCTCTTCTAAGTCAATTTAACTTTCCCAACACTAAGTATAATCAATGTAAGTTGATAAGATGTGAAAATATAACTTAAATAAAATACTTTTCATTTAATCTATTCTAAAGAAATTGATTGTAATCAAGACAGTTACACATTCATAAAAAAAGATTCATATTCTTCCTAAAAATCTTCTTGGGGTTCTTTGATATTGTTATTCCACACTTTGAATTAAAAGGGGTTAAAATCCTTGGTTAGATACTGTTTATCTCTTGTAAATCCTTATATAAGGCCAAATAGAAGATAAACAGTAAGCAATAGTTGCTGAATTAGTGAATGTAGAATTCAACATGTTTAATTTAAATATAACTTAAATCTCATATGCAATTGTCAAAATCAGTATATTACAAATGTGTTAAGATCCATTTTCACACAAATTACAAGTATAGTGAGATATATACATGATTTTTTAAATTTTAAAACACTCCTTTTTAAAAAGATTTAGAGACAGTGCCTTGCGATGCTCCCTAGTATGGCCTCAAACTCCTGGGCTCAAGCAGTCTTCCCTCCTCAGCCTCCCAAGTAGCAGAGACTACAGGTATGCCACCACACCCAGCTTTAAACATTAAAAACTTTATTTAAACTGACCACTAATGATTAAAAACAAGCTTATTTTAAAATAACACTACATTATTCTTATTTACTAAGGTTAAAAAAAAACTGAGTATTCCAGTTAGGTCAGCATTTTTACCTAATTCTTCAGCCAGAGCACAGTAGGCCATATTTTTCTTTTTTATGTTATAATAATTTATAAGATTCAGATGTTGCTTTCAGACAGATTTTTCAAGACCTATTTTATATTAGCTGAATATTAAGCACTTCAAAAATTTTTGTGTTATCATTTAAACACTGGAAGACTCCATACAAAAATCTAAACTACCAATTTCTCTTGACAAAATGTAAGGCCGGACTTGGTGGCTCAGCCTACTGTAATCCCAGCACTTTGGAAGTCCAAAGCAAATGAATTGCCTGAGCTTGCAGGTTCGAGACCAGACGGGGCGATTTTTAAAAATTGGCCAGGTGTGGTGGTGCACGCCTGTAGTTCTGGCTGTTTGGACTGTTAAGGCGGAGGGATTGCCGGAGTCCAGCATTCCACCCTGGAGACAGAGTGAGACTCTGACTCAAAAAAAAAAAAAAAAATGTGGATGATCTCACATCACTGGAACTAAGTTCCTACACAGCAGCAATCAGCTTCAGATGGGGATAGCAACTATTGCTTCCTTCGCATAGATCATACATAGTAACTACTAATCTCTTACCTAGACTATTCATAAAGGGTCAGACAGCAAATACTTTAGGTTTTGTGGGCCATTTGTATTAAATATACACACGCTAGGTTCCAAGAGGGCTCCTGATGATTCTTACCTCCTGACAGTCATACCCTTTTACAGTTCACTCCAACACTGTACCAGAGTTGGACTTTGTGAACAAAAGACTAAAACAAAATTGGCATATTGCTTCTTAGATTAGATTATTTTAAGAGACACTGTGCTAAGACACTTTTACCTTCCAACTCTGTCTCTCAGATCATATGCTTGAGGGGAAGCCAGCTGCCATCTCAAGAGAAGTCTAGAGAGAGGGCCATGTTATGAGGCATCTTGCCAAGAGTCTCCAATGTGATTTTGGAAGCAGATACCCTAGCCCCAGTCAAGTCTTCAGGTGACTACAGCCTAGGCTGACAGCTTCATCGCAAGCTCATGAAATACCCTGAGCCACATCCACCCAGCTAAGCTGCTCCCAGGTTCCTAACCCTGAGAACCAACGTGCAACAATAAATGTTGGGCGTTTTAAGTTAAGTTTGGGGGTAATTTGTTATATATATATATTTTTACATTTCACTCTCTCTTCTGCTGAAGAAAAATAGGATAACCAAATAGAGTAGTTCTGTTGAAAATTTAAGATTTTAAATCTCAGCTGGAGTCGGTGGCTCAGCCTGTAATCCCGTACCTTTGGGAGGCTGAGGTGAGTGGATTGCCTGAGCCCACGGGTTCGAGACTCGCCTGGGCAACTTGGCGAGATTTCATCTCTACAATAAATAAAAAAAAACTAGCCGGGAGTGGTAGCGCACGCCTGTAGTTCCAGCTACTTGGAAGGCTGAGGTGGAAGGATCACCGGA